GTGTGGTCAGTTAGCAATATTAACACTAATCAAAATAACACATTTCAGTGCTAATATGAATGTTTTACTAAAACAACTCTTTAAGACTGGAATTAGAGGAGAAGCTTGATACCACAATTGCTGTGTGATAAATATGAAGCTGGAACAAACAGCCAATTAGCCTAGCTTATCATAAACTGGAAATGGGGAAACATCTAGCATTGCTTTGTCTGAAGTTTACAAATATGCCCAAATCTATCGCTAAATCTCACTAGCTAACATGTTTCATCTTGTTTGCCTAATTTGTACCTAAACCAAAGCTATGCTTTTAGGAAACCAAGCTAACTCTTTCTTCCTGCTTTATAGTCTTTCTGCTAAGCTATGCACCTGCTAGCTACAAATGAATAGTTTGCACAAGAGCAATGCTGATCCTCTTCTAAGCAAATAAATATAAACAAAGTTTAATGTTCATATTTTCTTTCACATTTGTCAGTTCTATGTTTTGCAAATTGAACTGAACTGAAAAAGGTAGTTTGAAGGTACTTTAGGAAACTTGTGATTGTCACTATTTTGTCACTCATTTTAGATTAAATATAACATTAGTTAATCTAAAAATGTAATTGACAGTAATTGATGCTGAAAATAATTATTAGATGCAGCCATATTGTAGTATCTACTTACACACATGTATTTGATATCTGTAGAATTTGGTCTGATAGAGCTAATTACACATAAACATGGATTCATTAATAGTCATTGCAGTAATTCATTATGCTGATTGAAGTATTAAGACCTTATGGACGGTTGAGTCAGCCAGTAGTGAATTCCAGCTGCCCTCTCTGGTCTGTCTGTCTCTCATCTACTGGCTGTGCAATGGGGAGGAGGATTTTATATGGTGGTCTGTGCAGTTGTTGAGTGGGTGCCACATTCCCAGGTGGCATGTGGTGACAGGTTCATCTGGGCACGCCTGTTTTCAAAAACAAACAGACCCCCACATAACAAGGGTCAAGGTCAGTGCTGGTACTGTCTCTCCTAGACGAGACCCTCAAAAGCATAGCCAGACCGTCGCAGGGGGCTTCAGAGGGATCTGGCATATGTGGAATAAGGATTCACGGTGCGCATAATCAAGTAGGTAATGTCTTTTGGGGGTTGCTTGTTTTAGAAAGGTATTTTAGTAATGCCCGAGAGAATTTGGTGAAGATTTATGTTATATATTCTCTGTGTGTGAGTGAATGTCATGCACATATAGGATGAATCATCATTTTGCTGTGTATTCCTGCTTTTAAATAAGCACAGGTCTGAGTTGAGAGGCTGATAATTATGTTGTTTGAATAACGCCTGCACTGTTTTATGGTTTCTCAGTTCTGTGACTATGGAGTCTCTAGAAGATATCGGAAGACCTATGATCTCACTAGGTCGGTCACTTGCACCTGTGGCAGTTTATATTTTCTTCCTCATTTTAACGGAAACACCAACATATTGTGTGAATCTACTACTGGTTTGTTACTGTGCTATTAAGAGACTGCTGGTCTATTAAGACAGTGTCAGATCATTTAGTCAGTTCACGCTAAGACCCTGAGATTGTGAGCTTAACTCACTGTCTGCTTTATGCTCCATGCTTTAACTCCACATTTGTTTGTTTTTGATGCCACATATTGGCCTAAATGACCCCATTTGTGGAGGAGAGACATGAAATCTTCATGGACTATGAGGTGCATTTAGGTAAACTGCAGTTCAACAGGGTTAATAAAATCTCCTTGTTTCCCTGTTTGTCTTGTCACTGGAGGCCATCACCAAACTCCTGCACTGTTCGTTTCTTTTTCACCACATGGATGGATGGCATTTTTTTGCCCAGCTCTGCTCTGAGACATCTCTTCCTAAAAAGGCCAGGGGTGATGTCTGCTCTCATGTGTTTATACAGCAAAGTGAACACTGCAAGCTTTTATCTTCCCATTATCTATTATATGCCAGAGGTCCAAATACTCCCATGTCTCACTTTCTACTGTATAATCACCATCTTGGGGGTTCATCTGAGGATACAGTAGAAGAGACTGAGATTAGTGCAAGCACTTCTCAAAGGAATGCCTGTTAATGGTTTTGGAAATGAGATCATGGATGCATTGCCTCTCTGTGATGTAGGGGGTCAGGAAGCAAGTTCATTTTATTAAAGAAACAGTGGAAACATACAGACAGTTTCTGATGCTCAGGGACAGCTCAGCTCCTACGCTGAATGATGTTTTAAAAGGTTTTTGCTTCATGTCCCCATGGGGCTTGTTTGGAATAGCTCCCATTTTCCCTCATCCATTTAGGCCTATTTGTGGAGGTTTCCAGCTGGAACATCAATCCTATGCATGTTCTGCTTATTTTCTGTGTTTACTTTGTAAACACACAGACCCACACAAACTCAAGATTAGAAAAACCAAGGGTACAAGTTTAAAAGCAGCTTAAAAGGGACATCACATAAAATTCTAGGTGGATTTTACTGTTCAGGCTTTTTCAGCACTGTTGTCTCTAGTCTACAACTAAAATACTTTTTATATTGTATTTTTGTGCATGCATGAGTGACTGCTGTGTGTGTGTTTGTTTGTTGACTTACTCAATGCTTTTCTTAGCATTTTAAATGGGGATGTCTCCTAAATCAGCTGTGTTGGCTGAGCACAATGGGAGGCCCGGCGTAGCAATGGGAAGTGTTTCACAGCTACTTTTCTGGTGGCCTTGGTATTGCTTTTGCATGCTTCACTGGTACAGCTCAGATGAACACGCACACCCCTCCCCCCTCTTCCTGTCCTTAAAGGGGAATACAGACAAAAAAATTTAATCTGTATCATTAGACCAAGGCAGGCCAAACTTCCTCCCACAACTAAACAACTAAAGGTGTGAGGTTTGTGACACTCAGAATAAAGTGTTGGACTGTAAAGGACTGTTTCGACATCAGATCATCAGTGAGATGAGTCTTAGTAAAGGTTAGTATCAGGTTAAATAGAACTTTAAAAAAAATATTACAGCTGATTACAACTTTGACACTACTTTCCACTATTTCTACAGTGGAAGATGCACCATTTTATTCTTTATATAAATTTGTTTCAGTTTCTCATAGTAAAACACACTGCATGCTGCAAGCCAATACTGCAGCAATGTCCTGACCTGGTTACCAAACAAACCCTGATCCACAGTTAATATTAGTCCTTCTGATGTGGAGTTTCTTGAGTCTGATGCAACTGGGAAAAGCAAGTTATGGAGATGTTATATAGTGTATCTCCAGTACCTACTGAATCTGCAGGTGGTGACACTGTTCTGGTGCATGGTTCATCAGACTGAATGCACAGCAAATCAAAACCACACGTGTAGTTGGGGGTTTTGGTTTAAAAGCTTAAAAACAGACAAAACAACCAGAGGGTGTTTCACTTACACAAAAATTATCAGCTAATTTTATGCCTGCAGCAGGGAAGGTACAAACATTAGCAGTTATTTATTTATTTAACATGTGATGATCTCTGCATTTTGTTTCTTTATCAATCTATATCTGTTGCCTAATTTTTAATAATATATCACACTGGTTTATATAGACTCTCCAGATATCAACTCCTTTCCTTGACTTCACTGTGTTAAATACGTCTTTCCTGTGTTTCTCCTCAGGGCTCTCCAGCAGAGGGCAGTATAAGACTGAGCACAACTCCCAGTAAGTCAGCTCTCAGTCTGATGACCTCAAATATTCCAGTTCATCTCATTTGTGTTATGTAATCATATCTGCCATGCCAAAATGCAGCTAAATTAATGCAAATGAATTGCTTAAACTTAGTGCTTTTCTTCAGGATAGAAATAACACTATTTCTTAATGAATTGGTGATGAAGGACAAATAAGGCACATTGAAATTACGTATAAAACATTTCATTAAATATTCTAATGCATTAAGATGTAATATCTTTATTGCATTTTGTCTTGTTCTTTTTGGATAGCAAGGTGGTTGTAACTGATAATAACAATATATTTCTGATTACATTTTAGACACACAAAAAAATGTCTTCTTGTCTGTGTGTTGATGTGTGTGCATGTTGAAGTACGATCAGGTCCTCAAACGGTCTGCGCTGTCAGGATCACACCTCTGTCAACCATGAAAGGCTCTCCTGACCTGAGTCCTGCTGCAGGTGACGCATCAATGTTTTAGGGCCTACAGCTGTGTGACACTTCATACTCACAAAGAAATCTTAGAAGGATGCTTTTAAAACTCACTTGTTAACAATGTGGCATCACTTTCACATCGAGGACAAAGCTCCGGTTGCTCTACTTTCAGCTCTGACAGTGTGATCATGTCGTGGTAGTTTTATGGGAGAGAAGAATAATGATTTACTGCCCGGGTTTTGATAATAACAGTTCTATTTTTGTCATTTGGGGCATGAGGAGTGCACTTTGAGAATACAGAATGTAAGACTGCTGTGCCTTGGACAGTGAGGCACTGTGGAAATGAGACTTTTAAAAAATATATATTTTCAGAGTTGGACCCCAGAAGAGTGTGCAAAGGGAAAGGAGTCGTGACTCTCAGGGCCACCCTAGTCCACATAGATGATGAAGGCTGTGTCAGCGAAGAGCCAAATGTCATCACAACACCAAGTAAGTCAGAATGAGTGGCACAGCTGTTTCTGAACAACTCCCCACATGATGAAAACTTATTTTCAGTACAGTAGTAGTTGCATAGTGGCTGTGTGAACAATGGACACATCACTGTAGAATGCGGACAGAAGATGTGAATGATGTTGTTATTTTAAAAAGTAGTTCATTGTGATCTTTACTTGTGAAAATCTCCAAGTGGCTTTCAGGGTTCTATTTTGATGTCAGGATTGTATAACTTGTCATGTTTCGAAGTGTGTGCTCAGTCATCAGGCACACTTGGAATTGTGATAAAGGGTGATTGCTCATATTTTTATGCAAGCGTCAAAGAGTTCTTTTGTTATGACCTGCCCACGCTGAACTTTAGAGCAGGGGGCCTTGACTGTGGGCTTGTTTATTGCATAGAGCACATTGGAACTGGACTGGAGGCTGGCCTGGAGATGCTTTAATTGTTGTAGAGCCTGAATATAAAGGCCACTGGTACAAATGGTCTTTGCAGCTCACTGAATAGATGCTTTGTTCTGATAACAAAGTTCAGAGAGAAAATCCCATTTTCTCCTTTCTGTGGGGATATTAACATTTCTGTGTGTGAAGACCACCAAGGAAAGCATTCACATCCTGCGGAATGAACCGCAGATTTATTTGATCAGCAGTTAGCTGTTGTAGTTTTCTGGTTTTCTGTTATAGGTTCAGGGGAATACTGTACATTTTAGTATCATTATTCTTGCTGCACTGGCTGCCAAACTGAGACTGGACTGTTTTTAGGTGGTTGGACGAGCCAGATTAATGGAGACAGCTCTAAAGCAGGATTGGCTGAGGGAGGCAGCAACATCACAGCTGAATTACCTCATGTAAACAACACTCAGTGCCAGGTACGTTTACTTCCACCACATTTCACACAGGACCTTTGTTTGGCTCTCTGTGATTTTATAATTATGAGATCTACACTATCGGAGCTCTTTTTTAGGGTGTTTGTTTGATTACTTGACTCTTTTCACTTTCAGGGTAATTTGCCTGAAAGCATAAAAGAAAATCAGGGTCCATCATTCAGTGAGATTCAGAACTGTATCACATCAACTTCCAGCTCTGTTTATCCCTACACTAGCACAGTTAACCCCACCATAGTCCTGCTGCAGCACAACAGAGGTGAGTTAACCTGTCTGTCAGTTGGGGATGGTGGGTGTCAGGTGCTGGAAACTTTGTTATAATATGAACATCATGTTTTTTTTTTGTCTGTATGGCATTTTATCATTCCACCTTTGTGGTACTCTGAGCTCTGTCTGGGTCGTGTCTGTGATCCTTCAGTCTTGTCTTGCTCTCTGTAACACATAACCAGTGCTTTCACTAGTTTGCTTCATTGCTCATATTTCACATTCCTGTCCTTGTTTGACCCTCTTTCTCACAACAGAGCAGCAAAAGCATCTTTCTCAATTAAAAGGTATGCACTGGGTCATTGGTGGTGTCTAATAATATGTATATTTCATTTTGTGTTTTTTAGACTGCCATTTTTATTACAGAGCAATATTTTTTGTTCCACAACTGATCCATCTGTCACCCTCCTACTGCCATGATTGTTTACACAACCTACTAAATGCATTCACCACAAGCTACATAAAGTGAATGAGTCATGCCATTACACGTCAATATGTAAAAAATATCAGAAACAGTCTTTTGTTGAATGAGAATGTATCAGATTATACAGAACCACAATGAATATGTCATTTATTTTTGTGTGTATTTAAAATCGCATGGCATTTTTATGTAATACTGCTTATCATACTGCATACTGAATTCACAGTACAACTGTACTTATCACCTTGAGCTGCAGGTTAAGTCAGATTGTACATTTTCTCCTTTATTCCATTTATTTAACACCTGATTTTATTCACACATCAAATGTTGCCTATCTGTGACAAAGTTTACCTTAAGTACAGCAGGTGCATTCACTGCCATAAAATGAACAAAAAAGAATAACCATTTTAAAAGAAAAATGCAGCATATGACATTGAAAACAATTATTATATCATTATTTGTTTTTCTTGCTTGTCATTTGTTCATATTATGGTACTTGTTGCACTACTACACCAGTTCTTTCTTACAGCAGATATTTTGAATGTTCAATGTAGGAAAAGCACAGATGGAGCTAATAATATTAACCATAGCTCAGTTGCATTTAAGCAGGTCTACTGTGTATAATTTATAAAATAAGAAAGCAGAGCAAACAGGGCAGATCTTTCTCTTGTAATTGAGTCCATTAGAATTAACAGTGGCTCCTACTTAATTCAATATACTCAAAATATTTTGCTGCTACAGACTTATTTTGTCTGGCCAAGCATTAGATCATAGTGGCTAATGTTAGCTACATGTTAGGAAACTTTAATTACTGTACTACAGGCATTATTGAGTCAGATGCATGTCTTTCTGGCTCTTCTCCACTTGTACTGTAACTCTTACTATGCAATTTCACTTTACTTTCACTTTATTTATTTAACCAGGTAAAAAACCCATTGAGATCATGATCTCTTTTACAAGGGTGACCTGGCCAAGAGGTCAACAACACATGTCGTCAATACATAAGTTTCAATACAAATCAAAACATTAAACATTTAAACAATCAAAACCATAAATACAATAATCAACAATATAACCAATTCAATGCAGTACTGGTGCCTGGCCTTCACATGACATCCCTAACTGATCCTGGTGTTACCTGTCATTTCATTTAATTAGAAATGTGCTGTGAGCTTTGAGTTTTGTCTGGCTTACAGGTTTTTGATTTTTGTTTTACTTTGTTTTGTTTTAGACCCAACCCCAGAAAGAGACAAAAGCCCTGATCCTGGTAGACACTCAGTTAGTCTAGTCTCTGATATGAACGGGAAGAGGCTGCAACTATCACTGCACTCCCCTGCCCTCAGTCCTCTGAACAAGCCCATTGTGCCTGTACGGGTGAGCAACAAAAACTACTCCCAGATGAAGACTGATCTAATCACTGCAAATGTTTGATAGTTGTTTTGTTCATATGAGACATACATACTGTAGATATTATGATATTGATATTACAATACAGTGAAAGGGCCAGTATTTATATAAAGCACATTGCTGTATATCATTGTAAGGTTAAGTTGTTGATTTGTGTCATTTTATTTGAACCTTTCTTGCATTATTTTAACATGTCATAGCAAGTAAAGCAGGTGTAACTAATAACATTAACAAAGGTAGAGGTCCAATACAATGCAAGCATACATGATAGCACAGTCATGAATGTAATGTAATGCAGCCATTTGTAATGTTATTAGTTACCCCTGATGTATTTGACAAGCCAAAATGTCCACTAAAGCCATACACATGAACATCACTGGGGTTGCTTTACTCTTGCATGAAAAGCAAAAAGTTTAAATAATTGTATGACTATCTGATGTACTCATCAAGCAAAAATCCATTAAAAATCTTAATTTCAGAACACTGAAAAGTCCAAAGACTGGTATAAGACGATGTTCAAACAGATACACAGAATACCTGGTAAGAGAGTTTATTATAATTCCCCTCTGTATGTTGAATCATTTTGTGTGTTTCTCTAGTGGCGTCCAAGCCATTTGTACATTTCTCTATGTGTTTGTATGGTATGTCATGCTGTGCTCTGTCTCTCCATCGCTGTGCTCAGAGCCTATTGAAGAAAACCCTTACCGCCCCACCTACATTTTCCCTGAGAACTATGACAGTAAGATGAAATCAAAAGGTACCTGATGGCAGTAACTCCACTCTCATTGGCTTTACTAACCTGGAGCCACTCTGAGCACTTTCGAATATTTTTGCTGTTTTTAATCTGTCACACATGAAAGTACAAAACCACAAACTGTACCTTGAAGGTGCCCAAAGTATTTGAAAGGATTTAAACTAATCTTTCTCATTTCCCCTCCATGCTATAGAGCAACTAACTCACTTGCCATCCGTTTTAAGTGTATTGCAAGTTTCGTGCAAATCCTGATGTACAGTAGCTCAGCAAAAGGTTGCTGTTCTGTTGTATGAATTTCATGGTCTGAGTGCCATAAATACCATTAAACGAACAGGCCATGATCCAGACTTAAACACAAGGCTCCCCCTGCTCCCCACTATCTAAAGTTAAGAAATGAAATTATACTGTGCACTGCAGTCATTTTCATCAAGTACTGAAAGTAGCTGTTGACGTGTTGACCAGGAAGATGCACGAAGCCTTGTGGTGTCATTCAAATTTTATTAAACGACTTTAGAAATTTTAGGCAGTAGATTTCTCAGCTATTTAATTATTTGTAGATGCTACTGTAATTCATGAGTCGGCTACCTAGTGTAACTGGAATGTAGTGTAGTGTCGTCACCACTAGGTGCCTCTGCAGTCCTGCACTTTAGGCTGTACATGACCTTAGCACTGTTTGCCATAAGCTTAGTCAGTCAGTGTTTGGGTTTCAGTTCTAGATAGTTATGGTTAAAGTTTGGTTTTTGATTTTAGATCTGCTAACTCCAGGGAAGGATCTGTGTGTAGAATGAGGTGAAATGCTGCCTGGGTCCATATTTGGGTTTCTCAGTCTCATTGCCTTCTATAGAGTTTTATTGTTCTGGAAATGCAACAATAAATTTGTAGTTTATACAGAGATCATTCTAAATGTGGCAGCTATGGCCTTGTCAGTTTACAGTGCATTACTTATTCAGAGTCTTGAAGTTCATCAATGCTCGAATCCCTCTTTAGCTCAGTAATGCTTCCTGTAAAGTGCTTTGATTTGATGCACTTTGAATTTGGTGAACCTTTAAATGCCTGGCCTAATGGAAGGTGTGAAGGAGGGGATAAATACAGAAAGGGAATGGTTTAATGCCTTCTGAATTATTTAGTATTGCGATATATTGATAGATAAAGCGATAATAAATAGCTTTGATTGTTTTGTTTTCTCCCACCTTTAAGATGATGGTTCTACCCCCTTTGGCTACATGGAAGATGGTGAGTTTAGTTGTTTCATATAGATATCAGATAGATTTCAGTAGAAAAGTTTACTGTCCATCATTTATGGGGGCTAAGATTTGCCCAGATAAGATTCAGCATGTTGGTAACATTTCAGACTGTTGATCAATATTTATGTGCCTGTTTTTAGTGAAAGTGGTCCCACGGTCAAAAAGTGACATCGAGGTCGATTCAAAATGCCGGTTGATGCCAGTGCCAACTCGGTCCTCTTCCCTTAAACCCTCTGTCGGAAGGTCAGTGTCTTCCATCTGCTCCAGCCTTGCTTATGACAGTCACTTTGATACTTTGAAGCAAAAGCACAAGACTGTTCATGGTTGTTAGCAAAGAACAGAACTGTTTACAACCCAGAATACTTAAAATGGCAGAATGTTTTAGCATGTTTTCTCAGTATGATTTTAATATCACCTGCAGAAAAAAAAGAACAGTTCTTGTGATGAACAGTTTGAAATGGTCTTTATTTACACACAGTGCTAGTCAGTGTGACTAAACATGACTGTACACAGCAGAGCAGGAAAGACATGTCTTATTCCTGAGTCTGAAGCTATTTTGTCTCCAGTGGCTTTCTCTATTGTGTCTTCAAGTTTTTTCATTAAGTGTGCTTAGTTTCACCCCGCCACATACACATTTCAACACTGACACATGATGATCCACTCTCAAATAAATGAGTGATAGGGTGATGAAGGAGGACAGGTGATGCAGGATAAACTGTTGCCCTTTAGCGCTACAGATGACAAGTCAAGGACTGATGTTTCTGCTTCCTCAGTCTGTGTATGCGCTCTGCTGCTTCATGTTCTTGATGGACACAAAGAATTTCATTCATAAAAAGGTGCTCTTTGTGTGTTGACAAGAGATGTAAAGTTGTGTATTTCTTATTAATGAGTCTTTTTCAGTCATTTCCTGAATAGTAATTTTAGAGTTGGATGTATGTGAAGAAATTCTCCCTGGAAATGCCACGCTCTGTCTTATGTCATCGGGTCCAACCTTGTTTACCTGATCAAATTATGGATTTGGATTAACTGTGAATTAGATTTTCTGTTATATTATTATTAGAGAGAGGGAGGGACAGGGAGAGAAGGAGCCCGGATAATGAGAGCGGACGTCATGTTGAAATAAAAAAAAAAACATCTTAGCCTATGCCGGTTGCCATGGAGACTGCTTGGTAAGGATTGGCTCTCTTCCATCCCACACCCCACCCCTCCCCAACATTTGTCTCTCCACAGGAACGAGTGGGAGCCCCCAGATAAAAAGGTAGATACCAGGAAGTATCGCGCTGAACCCAAGAGCATCTTTGAGTACGAGCCAGGGAAATCGTCGGTGCTGAAGCTGGAGAGAACGGTATGCTAGCCGCCTGCCCGTTAGCTTGTGTCTCTCTCTTTCTTTTCTGTGTGCATGTTGTGTGAGCTGTCCCCCATCCACCTACCACCTCGGTATCTAAGCTCCCGGGTGGCAGTTTCACTAACAGCTCGGGAGGCGATGTTTGTGTGGCCTGATTCGCCATGTGCACCACATTCCTATAGGGTGTCCCGTTGTGGTGACAAATGATCCTGCTTGGCAACGGGGGTATCATTTACAAAGGATAGCCATTGTCTTCCTGTCTTCAATTTAGAGTTATTGGGCTGAATCAGCTCAGTGTGAGAGGATCCCAGTGCAGACACAGAAACATGGATCCTGTGTGTTCTGAAGAGGAAGTGCATTGCTCTCTACCCTGCTGCCATCTCTAGCATTAACAGTTTATGCTGAATCAAGTAGTGCAGCATTATTCAGTGTCCTTGGGGGATATCTTCTGAGGATGAGCCTTGGCAGTTACTGCCTAGATGCATGGTGTAATATTTACCAAACAAGAACAATTTCATTTTGGTTTTTAGATTAGATGACATGGGAAATGGATGGATGGATGGACATGGGAAATGTCAGTATTGTGAGGAAGTACTTAATTGTTTATGTAATTATTGTTTACTCATTTAAATCAAGCTATTAGATGTCAGCCAAGATCTGATTCGATCCCAGTGCGCTCATTAATGTTTTTGCTCCAGTTCATTCTGGGACCACTGAAAAATAACAGACTGTTTCAATTACAAGCTCGGTTTTTATAGGTCAGTGTCCTTGTTGCTGTAGCTGGTCATTTTGTAAATAAGGTTCATTCATTTTACTTTACAGTGCTGAGCATTGTGCTGCACCAAAAAGATATATTTTAAAGATGAGTGTATTACATTGTAAATAAATGAGACCTCATGTTTTGTTGATCTTCACTGGCATGTGTCTCCTCTTTGAAGTGAATAAAATGAAAATATAAATTATAGCACTTTTTGTGTTAAAGCCTCAAGTGTATTTTATTGCTGCCCACATGTACATTAAGCACGGTGGCCATACTGGCCACAAAAAGCTCCCTTCCTAAATCATTTATTAAAATTGCTTTTGAATGTTCAGCTGAATCTAATATGACTGAGGCCTCAGACTTCGTGAAATTTTGAAGAATACGCTTATTCCATTTTCTTGTTGAAAGTAAAGAGAGACGATTGATAGCACTTTCATGTCTGTAACCTAAAAATAAAGGTGCTCACAGGAAGCAGTTAGCTTAGCTTAGCATAAAGACTGGAAAATGTGAATGAGATGTGTGCTGGACTACTTCTGGGACTGCTTCTGTGCTGGGAGCAGTGACTGAATTCTCTGCTGGCTGTTTGGTATCTCACATTGACAAAAAAGACCCTAGGAAGCGATTGGGTCGAAGCGACGGTTTTGCTTGCTGTGGACAGACCCAGGCTAGCTGTTGCCCCTTGTCTCCAGCCTTTGTGCTTAACATAGCTAATGGGCTGCTCACACTAGTGTCATGTTTTCTTCTCATCCAACCCTCAGCAAGAAAGAAAATATTTCCCAAAATGTAAAACTGTTACTTAGGTTTGACAAATGTAAACTTATCTTTGAACTCAGTAGTTGTAATGCGGTATCTTCTTCCGTAAGAACATCTAATGTTGATGATTTATTATGCTGCGTAGAAACACTGCCTCAGTCAACAATGTAAGCTCACTGCCTTGGTGTGTATTTTCTGTGCTGTCTGAACTGTCTTCTCTTTGTCTTTCTCCTCCTCTTCTTCTTGTTGCCATGCCCCTAGACTCAGGATGTAAGTCCAGAAGATGTAGATTTAGAGAATGAGCCTTGGTATAAATTCTTTTCAGAGATGGAGTTTGACAAATCGGTAAGTGGTTGCTGTCTTTAAAATGACAGTGTATTGTATTTTATTGCATGTGATAACATCCATATTCAAATAATGCCTAAACAAACTGTGTCTGTCTGAACTACCAGTTTCTACTCCTTCTTTCACTTGCAATATTGTACTGAATAATTTTCTTCTTAATTAATCCTGCACATAAAAGGTTATGTGATGGGATGTGTAAGAGGAGCATTTATTTTCTCTTGAAGTAAATTTACTACCATATGTTCCATCAGCATGCCTTAAGGAGACCAGTTATTGATCAGCTTTTATGCATCACTGTTTTTTCATTATAATTCAGTTTCATTATTGCTTTAATTTCTCACCATTTTTAAGATGCATATGAGCAGCAAGCTCTTTGCAGCAAACTTTTTTCAAAGCACTTTTATTCCTTGTATTCATAAGTTTAGGAAGTTTTCTTTACAACAGGCTCTTACTATCTATTGCCAGCTGTGGCAGCATACCTGTTCTTCCATGCCATTAATTTAACACCCAAGGGGACCACTTTGTGATGTTCATTTTGATGTGCACCGTGCCAGTTAGAATACCTATCATAAGCCACAGGCCTGGACAGGGTGATTCATCCAGAAGTCACTCTTCACTTGGAGAGCCTTCAGTCCACACAAGTACTGGACTCCAAGATAATCCCAGGCCCTTGAAGTAATAATTGCGGCCTGTCTGCTATCTGGTATATTTACCAAGATATCCAAAAGAGTGCAAGCATGTTGAAGCTTGGGTCTTAGTTGGCACCAGGCAAGCTTGGCATCGGCCGGCTGCCCACAAACAGATGTTGGTTCTCTTTGCTTTAAGTTGGAGCCACATCGCCACACCCTGGATCATATGAGGTGGCACTGCTGACTACGACAAGAGGTCATATCCTAGCATCAGTTAGATCCAGGAACAGAGTCTCTTGTTAGTTAGTGTATATGTGGAGGAGGTTTTATTGGTGGAGGCAAATGACTTCTGTCTTATAGTGGCCTGGATGTTTGCCAGATGAGCTCAGTTTGATGACTGTCTCCTGTTTAATGTCTAAGTTACTTCAAAAGCTGCACCTGGTATGTGCAGTATTTGACCTCAAGGCCCAGCCAGACAGACTGTCTCACTGGGTTACTCAGTGTTAACAGGAGGAGAGATATGGCTGAAGTCTGTAAAAATGACAGCGCTCAGAGATTAAATGAAGAGCTAGATCTTTGCAGCTCTGTTACAGTAAGCTTGTTCTTATTAATAACCTTCAAAGTGCAGAGGAGTATGACTTCTACTAATGAAGTAATACTATAATAAGGGGAAAGTTCATCTTATACCTCTGATTCATGTGGTGTCATGCTGCTAATTATTAAGTTGTCAACCAAATACTTCTAAAGAGCAGGCTTACTGTGAGTAATATATTCCATAATCCTACAAAACTGAACTATGTTTTCTTCTTCATCCTGTCCTGTGAAATCGTCACTACTCATGCACTGGTATCTACATATAGCCAGCTAATAGCAACAAAGTAAGAGTGACACCTATGATTAACCACAGTAATGGCTCCAGTTTCCAGAGGAGTCTGAAAGCATATTCAGTGACAGCTATGTCAAACGTAGGCTCGTCGATTTACACGGTGTGCTGGACTGGCATTCCACACATATTGTAATTATGGTCAGTAAGAGATTCCCCCCCACAACTCGCCAGAGTGACTCCATCCGTCAAATGCATGCGACAAGGGGTCTGCTGCCACACTGCCACACTCTAACATCGAGCCTCCCCCTATCACCTGACATATTCTAAAGGAGGCAACTCCATAAACCCGCCAGCTCACTGTGCTTTCATTTTTGACCTCTGTTATACACTTCACCTTTGCCTTTAAGCATTTAGAGAGGATGAGATGAGGGACATGCATGGTTATAACAGGCACTTCACACTGAGGGAGCTGTTTGTTTTCATGAGAACATAACACAAATAAGGTGCTGGAAAGAATGGGATTCATGTTACCATGACCTACTCATGATCGCTATTTTGAATGTGAAGGCAGCACACAGGAGCCGAAGCTCTAAGTAGCCAGAGACACCTGTTAGGAAACATGCAAATTCTGCAGAGACTTTGTCATCTCATCAGTGTTCCACTGACTCACCAAAGCCTCAATTCGTGTCCATATAGAGCTTCGGTCACTTCACAGCCTACTACTTTAAGCAAGGACATTTGTCCTTTTTGCATATTTATCTGATAAGTCAAACCAGTTTTGGCATCTCTGTTTTACATTGTCTTCTCCTTGCCCCCTTTATTTCACAGGCTGGATAAAACAATTATGCAGGTATCTCAGAGTAATGTCATGTTAAGTGATGTCAGTGTAGGATTTGAACAGTTTTACCCTTTTTATAGCAAGTAAGGCTCACAGAAGATGACACTAACCAGGCTTCTTGTAAATAACCAGATTAAGATCCTAATCCTTTACTCTAGATACGTTTTCCATGCTTGTTTCCTGTCTACTTTCCACTCATGCTTTGCATATGTAAGCCCAATTACCCAGGGCTGGCAGAGGACACTATCTTCTCACCCTGGCAACAGATTTAAGGGGGATACAAGACATAGCAGAGAAAAAAAGAGCTTCAAACTTTTCAGTGACACGAGTGTTCTTCGAGTGGACATGGAACATTTGACTGTATAAATAGACCTGACTATAGATCTGCCAGCCTGATGTTCTGATCTTATAAAGATAGGCATTTATTAATGATCATTCTTCCCTGGCAACTAAGTGGAAAGGCATGTTGTGTCATATGAGCTGTTGAGAATGCTCCTTTTCTGGTCATTGGTGTGGGAAGTGTAGGCTTGGCCGTGCTGTTGGGAAGTAGATGTGATGTTAACAGTAGGGCCTCACTGGCTGGGGCGGGGATTGTGCAATCGTATTTGCAAACAACACTTGCGCTCCTTTTCATAGTGCCCGTGTCACGTCTGTTATTTTTACCTGCTCTGACGTCCAAAAAGAGGAAAGCAACAGAAACAGTGGGCTAAAATTAGTTGTCTCTAAACCATTCACATTGCCAACGGGGGCTACCACACTGAATGACCACCCCTGTGTAAATAACAACTGCCTTTACTCTTATAATTCTTTTAATATTTATTCACTTTTAAAATTTATTCCATTCTTCCTTTATGTTGTTTTTATGTTATTTTTGTTCTTTGTCAATAATAACATTGTTATCATTATTTGTTTCTACTATGACTATGTTTTACAGTATTCTTTGCTTTGCTTCATCAGTAAGCATATGTTTCACTTTTTTGCACTGTAAGCATGTCAGATAGGGTGTCAAGTGTGTATGTGTGTGTAGGTGAGTGTGTGAGTGTGTCATTCAGCCAGCTTGCACAACCAGCTGGTTAATTGTACCCCAGTCTGGTCCAGTGGTAATGAAAGTGACTCAATACCAGACAAAAGAGATGGCTTCACTGAGAGACAGCAGCCCATTGGCTGTTTTCTCCAACTTGCATGCAGGCCAAAACACACACTTTACTCCTCCATGCCAAGCCCAGTCTGGAGAAGCTAAGAACCCTGGGTGCTCAAGACAGAAACTCAGAGCAGCAAGTGAACGACAGAGAGGAAAAGAAGACTGAATCTGGCCATAGCTACTGCTCCTGCCTCTGTTCTAGCTGGAGGAGACCTTCCTGTGGATCTATCAATGACTTCTTTGTTTGGTTTGTTGCAGAGTGCCCCCTCTTTTGGCCCCCTGGAAACAGCCTCTGACCTGCAGCAGTAGTAAGTCTATGCTTCTCCTTTATGTTCGGATTCTTTGAATTTTGCTTCCTCCTTCCAGTATGCTGATGATTATTTAAGGCATGTTTATTTAAGGATAAATGTCAGTGAGCGATTTCTCCACCCTGTAGAGCTCGTCTGCCTGCAGCTGTGGGACTCTGGCTTCCTGAGGAGATTCTGTTAATAAGGCAAAAAGCCACTAGAACAGTGTGTCCTCTGTCTGTATTTCAGGGTGTCTTTAAGGAGGGTGGGAAGCTGAAGTGTGGAGACACAGCTGCTATGTCATGATTTATTTAAAGACAGCAACCTGGATGTCACTGGGATAGAGGGAAGTCACCCAGCTGCTGCATAACTTTCAAAACTGTTATCTTCTTCTGAATGAGTTTGTGTACCGAACAATGACCAGCAGCTGTATTATGAAAGATGATGCTGTCTAATTATATAGCAACAAAGCTTACAGAGCTGATTTAGTTTTTGTGTGATGAGACTGAAGCCTTCTATTTGTGTTTGTGTAATAAAATGTAAGTAATTTAGGACCGAGCCATGGCGACTGTCTTGTGCTACAGTCCAGAGGAAATAGACTTCTCCCTCCATTTCTGCTAAGAATGTTCCATCTGCTGAATGCATTATGTTATCGCGGCCAAGCATTGGAAAGGAGATTTTAATCCATCGATTGTTGTACTTTTGTAAGGAAGTGCTTCCTGATGAAAGCTGGTGGAAGGTCACGCACCCAGATTTTTCAAAGCAAACCCTCAAAGTCACATATGTTTAGACCCCCCCCCCACACACACACACACACACACACATAGAAATAGACCAAAAACAGGTAAAATAGCAAACAGAAATTGTGAAAGCACGTGGGAAAAGACTGATATTCAGTAATTCACACTTGCATCTAACAGTTATGAAAAAGCTTTTTGTTGAGCTAGTATACATTTGTGCAAGCTTGTAAAATTGACATGGCAGCACCACAGATGTAAAACACATTCTGGAAGACATGTTTCTTTTTTTCTATCACCAGTGGCAGATCTTTGTATGGGTTTTTATTTTACCTGGTTGATACTGGACTCCCTGTCAGTTAAATGACCATGTCTGTTTGTACAAATTGACAAGCACATTGTGTGAATGAGAGTAAGCCTGAGCTTGGTACAGGTGCATGGCGGGAGATGATGCACCATGTGGCAGTGTTAGCAGAATATTTATAGAAGTCTGTCCTGTTGGCTTCTATGGAATGCCAAGACACAGGATGTGTGTGGGCAGTGGCTCCTCTTAACATCCCCCTGTCTCTGATCATTTTTGTTTTCCACAAGTCTCCAAAGACAGGAATTCCCTTAAGATATGCTAAATAAGAACCATATGACAGCTCATTACCCAATTTGTGTGCATCTGTTTATCATAAAAACATGTAACACAGCTTTTCTAAAATGAAGTTGACTGTGTTTAATTAGGTCTCTGTGTTCCCTTGTCTAGCTCCTCGAGCAAGTCTGGACCCAACGAGGTGGAGAAGGACCGAGAATCATCCGCAACTGAGCCTGGGGCTCTAGAATGCGACCGCCATGTTTACAAGAGTGTCCTGGAGGGCGGAGACATTCCCTTACAAGGTCTACGGGCCCTAAACAAGCGACATGGCAGCTCCTCCTCCTCTAAAGGTAGGATAAATGACCAGTGAAATGGAGGTTGTGTGTATGTTTTTGTATGTGGATGTGGGGCTAGACAGTACAGTCGGCCATTAAAAACTTTGCCTGCTGAGACAGTACTAGTGAGTTACAAACACTGATGTGGAATCGTTCAGAGTCAGACAGGGATACATGTGTTTTCATTTACCTTTCTGTTGGAATCCACACATTTCCTTTGCACCCAGACATCACAGCATTGGCCAGTCACCTCATAGCATTCATTCCCCCAGCAGCTTTTGATTTATTATTGATGCCATGGATGCTTTCATTAAACGTGTACTGGCCATCTGCTTTGGAAAAGTCATGGAGAGAGTGAGGTTGTCTTGCTAAGTTGATGGAAGCTAACCTTGGGGATTTCCCTGCTCTTGCTCAAGTTGCGAGCCCAGTCGCTAGGCAGGCTTAGGCCAAGACTCCAGAGTGTTCCAGAGCCAGCAAGCAGAGGGCCAGAGAGGGGATGGATGAGCAGGGACGAGCGAGATAAACAGAGCTCTGCTCAGACAGGGGTGAGGTAAACAGGAGGGACGCAGAAGGTGGACAAGCATGAGGAAGTCAGCTGTCAGTGTGAGGTCAGGGGCTGGAATGCCTGCCCACATAGCTGGGGGAGGAGAGGTGGAAAGATGTTAGGTAGAGACCCTACAGTATACATGTCACTACATTACATCTAGAAAGACACACAACAGATATCACTTGTTTTAGCTTTTACCCAATCAGATTGTGGGATTTGGCAATCCAATCAACTGACTAGAAACCAGACACTTCATCATCATGTGATTCTGTCTCATCCTCATGAAATTAGCACTGTATTAATCTTTGTTTTAAAGAACTGCATCTCCTTCAGAGATTTTTTTTTTGGCCAGAATGGTAACTCTTTATTTGCCACTGGCCATAGCTAATATACTGTATCTGGCTTTCTTCCTCAGTGGGTGTTTTTCTGGCAGATATGAATGTGACAGATGGGTCACTCATACTGTAACTCCCAGCATGTGAAAGTGTTGTGTCACTTCCCAGTTCCATCTGTAGTGCTGTCACTAGCATACTATAAAAGGGAACTGACTATAGCCTGGAAATGACATGGTTATTTCTCAGTCATATTTTACCCATCATGTTTAGTCAGGACACATTTTTTTATTTACAGCCATGCAGTAGAGCAATATATTAACAGTGGTGTCACCTGTCTACTTGCTAAAAGCAGAGGAGGAGAATTTACCGTATAATAAAATGAGACAAGCAGCAGTTGTGACAGAAATCTTTTAGCCCTAACATGAATACAAAACAGGTAGCAGAACATGTGTGCATAGGCAGTTTATTTTATAAATTGTACTGATACTGCAGTCAGTGTTAATAATTCCTATATGACCTCTAACATCACATAACATTTCATGGTATATTACTGCTGTTTCAATACTTTGTTTTGCAGTTATTTTGCTCTTTACAGTGATATTGATAATGCAGGAGTCTGTTCCCCTTGATCCATTTTTGCAAGCATAATTTTTCATTGCAGAACCATGCTGTTACAATAACAGTCATCTTTTACTTGATGCATAGTACATCAAGTCTGCTTCCTCTTCTCATCTACTTCTGATGGAATTTGGTCTTTACTTTAGGAATGTGCCTGACTCAGTTTTAGTGTGTATGTGTGTGAACCTGTGACCATTGTAATCTAATATGTTGTTTATTCTGTTGTCCTGCATGCTTGCCAGTGGATTATAAAGGTGGGAATGGCTATATAATTTCACCCTGCTCTTCTGTAAATAGTCGATCAGTTCTTGCCAGTAATACAATAGGTAACCAGTCTAAGAGTAAGAAGCCTCTATCTGCTGCCAAAGCCTGCATACCCCAAATCCTGCCCTCTAAGTTCAAGCCCAAGCTGCTGCCGCCCAGTGGTGACAGTCAAGAAAGCAGGACTGAAGCTGTCAGTCATCCAAAGGCCCACAGCTGTGAGGATCTGTACATACAGCCACGTGACTCAGACTTTGCTGCAGCAGAGGAGAGGGAGAGTGGGCAGCATTCAGGCTCTAAGTCCAGCTCTGGCAGCCAGCGCGTGGACGGCCTCAGGAATGTTTCCTCTGCATTTAGGAGGAGCACATCTGAGTTTTCCAGCCTGTACAGGACCATGCATCACATCCAGCAGCCCAGCTCAACTGGCTGCAGCCCCCACGGCAGCGTCCGCAGCCTGGCCTCTCTTTTTGAGAAGGCAAAGGCCAAGGAGGGTGAAAGGTCAGAGGCTGACATTCCACGTGATGCCGTGTCATCACGGGTCAGCTCATTTGAAATGATCATCCAGCGCTCCAGCTCAGGACCCAGCCGCTCCTCGTCCCTCCCCCCCCTCCCCCCCAGCCCCAGCCACAGTCCCAGCTGCAGCCCCTCCCATCTCTACATGGCATCTGCAGTGTCAGCGGAGTCCATTTTGGTCACCAATGCCACCCAGACAGATGGCTGCTCCCTGGTGGAGACAGAGTGCAAGACTTCTGGGAAGGAGGCCTTGTCACCAGGCAGTTTAACTGTGGAGGAGGCTGCTTCTTCCTCAGAGGATGGACACAACGTCAGGACTGAGTCCCCCTCCAACACTGAGGCTGAAGTTGAGCAGATCTTCAGTCAAAGCTCTCCAGAACTGAGCCATCAGAGTGTTAGTGTGTCAAAGAGTCCCTCATTGTTGCTTACAGCATGCCCTCCACAAAACAACCATCTCCTCCACCACCACCACCACCTCCTGCACCACCTGAACCATCAGCTCCTGCTCAAACCCAGCAAATGTAAAGGTTCCTGTCCAGCCTCCTATACCCGCTTCACCACCATCCTCAGGCATGAAAGGCAGCAGGCCACGACCCAAGAAGAGAGACCGCCACCTCTGGAGAAGAAAACTACACTTCCTGGGAACCTTCTCCTCATGGGCCCCACTCCCTTCAGGTTACGGAAGAACCTGCAGTCCAACCAGAATCGGAGGACCCTGTTAGCTACCAAGGTGACAGTGGACACCCGGAAGCCCTGCAGCCTGTCCCCTGAGCCCAGACCTCTGATCCCTCAGCGCCTGTCCTCCCTGGAGGTCCTGGAGAGACTGAGTAATGGAGAGGGAGGCAACACTAACCACCTGACTAACGAGCAGGGCTTGGATGCCAACGGGAACCTACTGCAGCCGCTGGCAGCTCACCGTAGAGGTGGCTATCTCATCCCTTCACCACTGTCACCCTCCTCTGTCCTCCCTCTGTGGTCACTCATCTATCTCGACTCTATCTTCATTTTGTGTCCCTTTCTCCACAAAGCGACTGTGCCACCCTCCATCTCTAGTTTATGTGATGTGTTAACAAAGTGACAGAGAGACCTCCATCTCATTATGAGTGTGCTCTGTGGTGCTCTCCCATTTCACTGTGAATGAGTATGGCCCCACAAACATATCAAAACACTGTAGGAGGTTAAGGCAGCTTTTGGTAATGTATATATCTCCTTTTGACATCAGATTTGAGTTGTATGCAAGAGTGCTGGAGCCTGCATAAGCCTTACATCAATAAAAACAAAATGCTAACATTTTATGACATAATTTCATTTTCAGATAAATGTACAAGAAACATGATTTTTGCCGTTTTTATGTTTCACACTGAAATGTCCAATTTTGTCTTTACATAGCCAATGACTCTGAAAGTCAAGCTACAGTCCCAGCATTCAACTGTAATGTTTACGCAGGATATTACAATACAACATTGCATATGCTCTCTCACTATGAAAGGTTTGTTTTGTCCAGACAGGATGTTTCCTGCTTTGATTTCCTTTTACATAACAGCCAGTATTTGTACTGATAGGTGTTTCTTGTGGCCCTCGCTGGGGCACAGAATGAAACGTCTATGGTGGAGTGGGGAGCAAATAAAGTAATGGCTAATGAGAAACTAAAGTAAAATAATGGATGCTGGTTGGTTGATCAGTAAAACCATGGTGTCATGTTTCTTTTTTAAGATACAGTAGGTTTCATGTTTTCTTTGATGATTTGTTTTTTCGTGAACACACTGGATCATTCTGTGTTCATTCCATAGCGCATGCAGGATTGACATTTGGCTTTTTTGATGTGTGTGCTTTTTGTTTTAGTGTTGCAGAGATTATGCTGTTCATGTAAAGCATGCATGTAAGCCCAGTAGTTATTGCATATTTCTATTACCTGTTCACTGGAATTAAGGAGTTGACTGCAATATCATCATCTTATGTTTGAAGAGGTTTGGTCTTTACTTGAGTTTGCCTTCAGGCTGATAGTAAAAATGCTTCATAGTGTAATCCTCTCTGTTTCTGTTGCAGACTCATCCCCAGCTCATGGGGAGAGCCAGGATGAAGTATTGCGGAGGCGTCATGGGGACAAAGAGGTGAACTTTCTTTACATTTAAGCCAAGCTATCATAAATTACACCTCAGTAACAATGCCTTGGTAAAGAGACCTGGGTTATGAATAAGGAAGTTATATGCTAAACATAACAAGGAATGTGTCACATGAATAAAAAAGACTAGAAGAGACCCATATCTGCAGAGACCAAACAGTTGGGTCTGGTTTCCTGGCAGAAAATCTTGGAGGAGCAGCGGCGGCTGAAGCGGGAACAGGAAGAGGCTGACATAGCATCAAGGCGACACACAGGCACTGTCCCAACGCACCACCAGTTCATCACCAACGAGCGCTTTGGAGACCTGCTCAACATCACAGATAACACAGAGAAAAGGAAATCAGGCATGGAGGTACAATGCAGGGCCTTGCCTTATCCTTCTGTAAGCAGGAAGACAGGCAGCAGATGCTTTGTCACTTTTTGTGTGTAAGTCAGGCTGTTGGGGGCCAATTGGCCAGTCAGCAGGATCTCTGCAGACACAGATGGCTTTCTCCTCCAGGTCAAAGATTCAGAGGATGAGAGCAGTGGTAGCTGACAGAATATGAGTTGTTGAGCTTCTTGCTGGATATTTCCACTACACTTCCAGACTTTAACTCCACAGCGCACACTGTTGACTAGCTATACATCTAGATGTAATGTCTCAGATATCAGTTGCGCCCTTGTGGCAGACCAGTCTCATGGTAAACAGCCCAAAGTAGGTTCTACCTGGACATACTCCAGAGGATAAGTAACCCAGTCAGTCACAAGCATGTCATTCCTGTCATTGCTAGACCATGTATCCACCGAGGGGGCTTTGAGTTGCTAGACCATGTATCCACCGAGGGGGTTTTGAAAGGACAGCACAGGCAGATGTCCAGTTAACAACAAATAGCAGAACATGTTTTGTGTACATGACAAAGCACAGAATGTAGCCAAAAAGTGGCAAAGATGTACATTAGGACTTTTGGAAAATGTTCACTGACTTGCTATAATACCAAGAATAATATTTATGTCATAAAGTAAGAGTCATCCAAGTTTCTTTTTTATATGTACACAGAGAACTCCAGCCATGGCTCGCTTTGACTTCAGAGCAGAAACTTTAAAGTAAGTGGAAATAACCAAAAATCTTTTGTAGAGAAAATATCATTAACATTTTATCTGCAGTCCAGTACAACTGAGAAATTACCATGAAAATGGATCAACATTAGACAACTGGGAGTATTTGTTGCATTTGTCAGATTATACCATATTGTACAGCTAATGATATCATGATATAGCTTCCACCCTATTTAGATTTGCATATTTGCAGATTGGACTTTGCTAAAGTAATAACTGGCTTCTGTTCTGACTCACTGCATTATCTGATAGGTTGGGTTAAAAGCATCTGACAAAGTGGTGCCAAGAAGTTTGACAATCAATGATTGTCAGAGGTTTTAAATGATAGAATATTAATAATGATAACTGTAAAATCTTAACTCCAATTTGAGTGTGAAATGATGCCTTACATCCCAAGCAGATCTGCTACAAAGTGCTGTAAAGTTTTCATTTCTATTTCACTAACTAATCTCTCTGGAAATATTTTTTAGGGAGTTAGCGTTTCAGAAGGGAGACATTGTGTACATCATTAGACAGGTTGATCAAAACTGGTATGAAGGGGAACATCATGGAAGAGTTGGTATATTCCCACGAAGCTATGTTCAGGTATGTATGTGAATTCTCTTAGCCTCTTTACTCACCATAAGCTATATTAAGAAATAGTTAAGAAATAATGTCTTCAGTATGTTATAATTGATATTTTTGACTGTGACTCATAGAAATAGCATCTTTGTAATCTCTAACTGCATTTTAAATATGTTTTACAAATAGATTTGTCTGTAAGCCTGAGTGTTGTGTTTTCTTGGTTAGTCAGTTCTGTCATTTGTTTTCTATTGCAGCTCCTCCCCCCCACAGAGAAAGCCCATCCAAAGAAAAGTGCCCCAGTGCAGGTCCTGGAATATGGAGAGGCTATCGCCCGCTTTAACTTTACTGGGGACACAGTGGTGGAAATGTCTTTCAGAAAGGTGTGGACTGGGACTGAATCATTACAAACTGACAAACAGGTTTCAGGGTTTTTTTTCCCACCATAGTATTTTTTAACAATGTTCTGAATCTGCTGTGTGTGTGCAGGGAGAGAGAATCACACTGATTCGTAGAGTGGATGAGAACTGGTATGAAGGCAAAATCTCAGGCACCAACCGCCAAGGCATCTTCCCCGTTACTTACGTAGAGGTGCACAGAAGACCCCGCATTAAAAATGGGGTGGAGTATCCCGATCCTCCTGTCAGCCAGTCTCCACAGCGCAGCACCAATGCTTCTCCTCAGGTAAAGAGCCAAACTGGCGGTTCAGTTGTAGAACACATTCATGGATTTAAGGGAGAGCTGACCCACAGTCACTTTGAGACCCACCTTTAATTTTTTTGTTTTGTGAATTTGTCTCATCTTTTGTTTGCTCTTCTTTTCTCTCTCTCATCCCCTCTTCCTGTTCCTGTCTCCATCTTCTTCCTCCTGTTGCTCTAAAAAGCTGTATCATAATCGTATGACCACCTCCCCCCGGGGCCCTACCGCTGTGGCGAGTACCTGCCCCCACCCTTCTCTGCCAGCCCGGTGCCTCCCATCACCGGCAGCCCATACTACACCTCTCCTGTGGCCTCCCCATCAGCCTCCCCTCTCCCCCCACCTTACCCACCCAGACCCAACTCAACCACTCCCTTCCTCACATTCACCCCACCTCAGGAAGAGGACTTCTTGCTCTCCCATTCCTCCCCACGTCTGTCACGCAGCATAAGCCCCAGTTGCGGGACAGTGCTGGAGGGCTGGCGGAGGGGGGAGAAGGAGTTGACTGAGGGGGGAGGTGCTGAGGGAGACAGGGGCCATGCAGGCGCAGGCAGCAGGCACAATAGTCCTGCAGAGGTATCTTCAGCATGGTGTGCAGTGTTGCATCACTCTGGAACATGGGCCTTTGGCCACAATGTGATTCCCTGCTGAAGCAGACTTTTATGTGTGGAACACCTGACTAATTAACTGACTAATTAATTTGACCAGAAGTTGATTTTAGTCCTGTAGAGAGATCAGTCTGCTGTTTTTTTCTAAAGGCAGAAGGTACTTCATCACATTGCTTAAAGCTGCAAGTCTGCATGCTGTTGTGTGTGCACTACTAACACAAATGTTTTCCAGTGTTTTAGTGTTTATGTAGTGAGTTTCAGATTTCCTTGTTGTAAAGGACTGGAAGAGGTGCTATTGTGCTTGCATTTGCAGAACTGATTTGAGGGTTCAGTTTACTTTGTCGTCATGAGATTCAGCACATGGTTACATGTTGTTCTTGTTCCATGCAGAGGTTCTAACTTGGATGATGTTAGATGTTGGACGTTTATTTAGGGCAGTGACATATTTATTACTGAGTATTTATAGGCTTCACATGTTGGCTTGTATTTCAAAAGCTGCTTTGAGGTTGAAACCTGACATTGTCTGATGTATGACAATATTTACAGCAGGTGGATCCTACTGTAGATCACCAGAGAAAAGATTCCATTTTGAAATGTCCAAACTGATGTGACATTTTTGTGTTGCAGTTTGTGAAGAATGAGGCTGACCATCACGGACGAAGCTCCAGAAGCCCTGTGATGTTGTTTGACATCCAGGACAACAATAATGTCAACTCGTTTGCGGTAAGGTGGTACAAAGACTCTTTACAAACATAATGCAAAGTTTAAGTGACAACTGTTTAACTTTTTAAACCACCACCATTTGACTTACATCATCTTTAAGTCTCCTTGTCTTCTGTTTTTGTTCTTCATATTAGACATGTGAGAGGACTAGCCTTTCATTAAAGGAACAGTTCACCTATGTTTTTGTGACAGTTGCTATTTTGCATATCCATGACATCAGACCGTAAATTTTTAAATATACAGTATACAAGATACTTAGGTGTAATTTAACTGATACTAACCAGCTTTATCATTGGCTATGGCTCTTTTTCAATCTGTTTTCACCTCATCATTATGCAAATCCATCTACCTCTATTCATACTGAATAGTTTCCTGTAAAAAAAAAAAAAACTGAGCTAATTTGTCATGTTTGCTGTTGACATTCTCTGACACTGGTGTCTTGCCTTTTCATGCCTCTCTTCCTGGGCTCCACCAACGTCTCCTCTGCTTTTTTTCCCTGGCTTTTAATGGATCACTTCCTTTCCTTCCTTGCTACTTACTGGAACTACTTTCCTGTCTTGCCCTTCATACCCTACCCTTTCTAATGCCCCACCTTCCCCCTCAAATTCACCTTGACTTCTTCTGGGACTCTGGGCTCACTGTCTGTCTTTCTCTGATGACATCACCTACTATTACTACTAGGAGGCAGTGTGTAATGAGATCTTGAATATAGCTGAGACCTCGGTTAGGTACTGCAGCACCCTGTCCTACCACCCCCATGACTCTGTCCATAGACTGCACCCCCACTCCAGTAAACAATCTCTCATCATTTCCCAGCAACCCCAGTCCCACAGCAACAGCCCAGAGCCAAGGCGTCTCAACTGTGGAATGTGAGTTTCACTGCCTTTAATGCTTATAAAGGTTTTGTTTGTTTGACTGTTTACACCCGGGGCTCTATTTTCCTTCCAGTGCAAAACTGGTGTAGCTTCAGACACAGTCTTTATGCCATTTTTCTTGGGCGCAAATTTGTTTTTTTGTTTGTGAGCATTAGTGTGTTTAATATTTCCTACGCTGAAGTGAGAGGAGAGGTGCAGTTGAGGTCGTGTTAATGCTGATTAGACGGCGCAGTGCAATTTTGGTGATCATTTCCTGAAATCGCGTTTGCATTAAAGCCTGCCCATATCGCAAACACAAGTGCATGGAAATTTTCCTGACAACATTCTAGGCTAGGAAGTGAACAGGTACCCAAATGTGTTTTAATGGCTGCACTTTAATCCACAACTGATCTGCTGGAATTCATGGTGAATAAATTATGTGAAATATAAAATATGAATTATAAAATATGTCATACTTTAGAAAGATATTTTTCAAATAAGATATGTACTAGTCCATATTTTGTGGCTATAGATGTGAATATGGTCAAAAAGGGTTGCTGAGCGTTATGATGCATCGTCTGTCCTTATAGGATGCAGCTGTGAGTAAATTACACCATGTACTGTAATTGCTACTACTTGCAGGACCAGTCTCTCTCTTTCATGCACAAAAGCTGGACATTCATATTAGCCAACACCTAAGTGGATGGTTATATGCAATACGTGCAACATTTTCTCAACACAATTTAGCAACAGAGTACATATTTGGTGGGAGAACAAGATATAAGGAAAGAATCTTTTGTCTCAAATCACATATATTTCTGTAGATGCGATCATGGCGACTCTGGGACAAGTATGTCAGTTTCCTGGTGTGAAAACTTTCTCTGACAGAGCCAGATCTGCCATCATAACATCAGTGACATCAGTGCTTTTAATGGAGATGAGAGGAGCTGGTTTGACTGGCCCACCCCAACTCCACCTGCTCATAGTTCATTGCTCCATCTAATAGTGTATTCAGCCTCTCTTCCATGTGCCATATAGCTGGATCCAGTATGTGCTATTGCCAGCAATCACCAAAACTGTAAAAGATTGCGGGACACACCCATAGGCACCTTCACATGGAGTTTAGACTTACGTTTGCCTTTGCACCCTATTTCATAAAAATAGAGCCCCTTGTTTTTATTTGCAATTTACCCATCGTTTAGTTTGTCTTGATTTTACATTTTGTGTTCCCCCAGCTTTGCATATTTGCCCATTTATCTTTGTGTCCTGCTCCAGTTTCCAGGCCTTGTACAGTTACTTGCCACAAAATGATGATGAGCTGGAGCTGCAGGAGGGAGATCTCGTCAGCGTCATGGAAAAGTGTGACGACGGCTGGTTTGTTGGTATGTGCCGAAGGCCTAAGGATTAATGCCTCAGTGGTACAGTCACATTTCTGTGTCGCATTAATCCATACAGAGTTTCTACAGAATGACAGCAAAGGACATACAATGTGCATGGCTCAGGACCCCTGGAGTAGTAGAATCATCTTCACTGTGTCATCCTTCTATACAGGGTTTCCAAAGAATGACAGCAGATGATTGGGTGCAATGTACATGTGCAAGCTTTAGCTTTAAAGTAGCTCAGATTATATATTTTTATACCAAAATCAAGAACTTTTTGGCTCTTAATCTGAGAAGAAGTCCTGTCAATTTGTTTTGCCTGATCTATGTTTCTCTTTCTGTTTCTCTGCAGGTACCTCAAAGAGGACAAAACAGTTTGGGACTTTCCCTGGGAATTACGTGAAGGAGGTGAAACTGTAAAACTATCTAATCTGGCTGTAACACATGGCTGCCTGTCAAGCTTGGGAAGCTATTACTACCGCGCATGGCTGTTGGTTAGAATAGTCATTTAGCCAGGCAAATCCATTTTGTCTGGGAAAGTGATCGGTTTGGCCCGAGGTATGTCAAACTGCACGAGGCGAAGACAGAGATAGCTCGCTGCCCAAGCCTCACTATGGTCACATTTCACACCTCTTGACAGAATTAGTCCGTTCCACATGTGGAATTTCTTTGTGAAACTCTACCACACACTTACTTGTATTGTGCAGTACACACAATAGCTTCTATTTTTGTCCATGCAAATTTACAGTTTACGTAGCACCTCAGGCTGAAGGCCGGCAGCAGAGCAGTGCATGGAACAAAGAGTGGATCTTATTACCTGAACTGGACTTTGGCGGAGTCAGAATGTATTTTTGTGTAACGTGAGGTTGCTGCTGTTTGTCATGAGCTACCTTTCAGGACCAGATGTGCTTGCTACGATTAGTTAAGTATGATGCAGGCCGTGCATCTCATGAATCAAATATATTTCTATTCCTTTAGACTTTGCTTCCAAAAAAAACCTTCAGTGTTTGGATTAACTTACCACAAATGTATGGAATTTAATATGGTGGTTTGTTCTTGGTCAGCTTTCCTCAGTTTAAATCTAAAAAAATTATTTAAAATCAATTCCCTTCAGAGTTTAAATATATAAAGCCTTATGTGTGAAGCCTCTTTAGAAAGACTAGTCTGATGTACACTGCAGTACAGGTTATGCTTTCTTTTGTGGAATTCTTATTTGAGTCAGTATTGGCTTATTTTGAAGAACAGCAGCTTTCACAACTCTCTGTGTAACCCAAAAAGCTTTAGAAACCACTTCAGTATTGCCTTCTTTTTCTATCCAAAGGTTGTCATTATATAGGCATATGCGTGACTAGAAACACTAAAATGTTGAAGTGTGCCCTTAGCTTCTCTTTTTCTCAGTTGCCACAAAAAACATGGGTACAGGACACAAACTGTGTCACATGTCTCACATAGAATGAATGAAGGGAAACTTCCTATATTCTCAGAAACTATTTATTTTTCTTTTTATACCTCCTCTGTTAAAACAGAGGTAAACTTTGCAGATGGCTAATGCCTGTAAGGTAGCTGGTGGTAGACGCCTGGCTCCAGCTCAACCACAGGACAGGCGTGGTAGCACTTAACTTTCTGTTTGGACATTTAGGGAGAACCCACCTAACAACATATTAGCAGATTAATCAGTGATGACAAAAAGTGATTTAATGTTTGACCTAAAGCCAACAATGTGTCTTAGTATATAATCATGCTGAGTTTTAAAAGCATATTGAGGTTTTAATGCCCTTAATGACAAGATTGTATGTTTTAACCATGTAAATGTGTACAGACTTCAAGAGGCCTTCCAAATATGGCTCCATATTTTCATATTTAATGACTACAACTTAGGTAATGCAGTCAGTGGAATGATTCAAATAATAAGGCCAGCATTAATACAGCATGTACTGTAAAATCAGATCAAATTGGAGCATGAAACACTATCAGTCAACACATCCATATTGGCCCCTTCAGCCTAAAGCAAGCAGAAGCGATGATAGGGTTAACAAGTATCAATAGCTCCCTGTGGAAGATTGCTTTGAATTCTGCTATCAAAGCATCGGAGCCGTCTTCCTGTGAGTACAGAGCTCCTTCATGTACAGATCGATCAGATCCTGTAACAGGCACCACATACCATATTAGATCCTCCACACAGATAGAGAGATGATTGCTGTTCTTATGTTTTCATCGGATTCTTTGTTGCCATGAGCCTCTGTGATGTGCTCATCAGTCCTTACCTGTCAAACAGTACAGGCAAATCACTCTTAGTGCTTGTTAGGGCCTGCTCACAGCAGCACATGGCTGCAGTTTGTAGGGCAATTGTTGTAAAGTATTTTAAAGTCAGTTTAATTTATACCAGGAGTGTTGAACTAGTGGCCTGCAGTACTTGAGGCTGCAGGTAGCTGAAGTTTCCCAGTTTGCACATTTATAATCAAATGGTGCCAGACTATCAGTGGGCCTTTTAATATAATATTATGATTTCCTGAGTCCACAAAATCTGAAACATAATGTGAAATATTGAACAGTCACACTCATTAGATCTAAAAGTGGTCATTTAATTTATCTGTTTTTTGTGCATTAATATGTTAGAAACAGTTGTGTAGCAATGACAAGTGTTGACCTGATTTGCAACATGTTCTGAAGCTGTATGCAGCTACCACATACAGGAAGGGATATATGAAGTCTAATGAATTAGCAATCAGTGTTTCATCCACCCTGACATTTACTATAGAGATTAAATCCGGTGTCTCATCCTGTGCAGTTCACCACTGATAATTTTGCCAACACCAGCAAAGGAATATTATCTCAGCAAGATAAAATATAATTTGCTGCGTTGTGGGTTTGCCTGTATAGCACTGATATAATGTTCAGGTATTTTGTTACACTTCAAAAGCATGTTTTTTTTCCCTTAACTGCTGGTAAAATGTTTTTATTCCTGTGTAACTCCAGCTCCTCATGAATGTGCAGGTCGGTTGGGAGTTGGTTGACCTGTATGCTTGTTCAAAATGGTTTTTCTTCCCTGGTAGAACAAAGGGAGAGATATTTGCTCCATCTCAAACACACTATATGGTATGGTGGCCTTTGACTAATCACATATTTAGCCACACGCAGCTTTGTTCTTTAATATTGTGCTCCATAAAACATCACAGGATGTATGAATGTATGAATACATGAATGTGGGTGACAATGTACACATAATATGTAGAGAATGTCTGAATTTTCATGATCCTAAATGAACATGCAGACCGCTCAGCAGTGTGACACAAGAAGCATTGTAAATATGTAAAATAAAAGACAAACCATGAGCAGTGGGAGCAACGGACAGAGGTCTCGATCACATGCTGCATTTTCTTTACCTGGTGGATTTTTGGCAAAGCACAGAGTGGAGTGTCACTGAACACAGTAAGGTTGACACATATGAGCATTATGCTGCCGTTTGTGAGGGTCATAATTTCTTATATGAAAAATTGTGCCTCATTTTCATTAAGTTTTATTTTTGGGGGGGTATCACTGAAATGTTTCCATGACATATTTAATGTAACTGTGGTTTTCCCATTAGTCCTAGTCTCTGTGATGGGAGAACATTTACTAAGAACTTGTCAGTTACTGTGCAAGTATCTAAATGTATGACACAATGCTTCAACATAATGATAAGAATGGACTAGTTTGATGAGACGCACAACCTGCAACAGGTTTGGTTTGTTTGCTTCAATTTGCAGTGCTGTTACATTGACAATATTAAAAAAAGTATTATACACTGCTGTGACTTCTGTATTATGCAATATTTAATAAATCGTTTAAACTATTTGCTGCGTTACCTGTTTTGATTTCTTGTAAAAATCTGAATGAGAGCGGAGATAAACCTATGATTTTTTTTTATTGATAATCACTTTTTTTTTGGCCAAGTATGTTACACACACAAGGAATTTGTCTCCAGTACAGAACATTTAAGCTTATTTGACACATTAGCCATCTGTAATGTTAAGTGAGTAAACTCTTGCAGTATAAAGGTAAAAACTATAACTAAAGGCACATCATAAATGGATTCAAATTCATGTGCTCATATATTTTGAGGGTTTCACTTGAAAACAGTGTCAAGGATTTCACTGCTCTACTTGAAGGCCTGCTATGGATGTAGGCTTTGTTAATCTTAAAGAAAGACATGTTTCATTCTGACTGCCTGGAGCTTGTTTTTTTCTCCACTTTCAGCAGAGATCTAGGAATTCGAGCCTTGGGAGGGACACATTCCACATCCTGGGAATTAGCGTTTCCATAAATGGTAAGCTTGCATATAACAAGGTGACGCACCGCAGGCCGACTGCTCTAAAGCAAACAGAGGATCTCATCTGAGAGGGGCAAAACATAAAGAGGGATCACTTTGCTCTGAATTTAAAGTACCTTTTTTTACATTAAAAGTTAGGTCAATATGTCCGTTCATCAAATCTTTGGAGCTTATATTTTCCTAGCTCTGTTTTAAGTGTTATTCATAACAAGAACTACTAACCTCAAATAAAGTAGAAACTATGTTTGGATAGTTGAGATGCAGCTTCCCTTAAGTTTATTAGGCTAGAGAATTACAGCTACGTGGAGCCATCTAAACAAACAAACATAACATGGACTGCAGTGGACAGGATCTGATTAATTAAATTTAACAGTCGTTTAAAAAATTATCCAGTCTTATTCAGCTAGACTTGTGTCTTCTTGTAGCTTTTTTTGATCAGGGTAAAAGAATCTTTTTTTTTTTTTTTGGCACATTACCACCAACTTTATACATTTGTTTACAGCCTAACAGATAAAATTATGATCCAAGCTTGATTGTTAAAATACAGTTTTTCAAAATATTGTTAACATTCAAAAACTAAATTTGAGATTGGAGTTATTTTACTGAGAAACCTAAACACAGAAGACTGTGAATATACAGTATGTGGGTTTTTAAATAAACACTGACATGCAGTTGTCCTGATTCAACGTAAAGGCAAAGTGTATGTAAATTCTGCTTCTGCCATTTTCTATGAGGACAAAACAAAACACGTGCACACACGTGTGTGTAGAGGATAGGCTGGAAATAGTTTCACTCTTAAATACATCAGTCTTCAAAATGGGACACAAATAGTAATTTCACATTTTTTTAAAGGGTACTTAATTTTCTAAAGCATCTGTGCACCGTCATTTTTAACACAGGAGTGCTCATGAGTAGTTATTAACACACAATTGTTGTGCCATTTACAGCAGCAGGATGGTGTATGCAGGACAAAATAATAAATCACAGCGCTGTTGTCACCCAGGGCATCAGTGTGGCTCATCTGTTTCTAGTAGTTTGAGGATAACAGTTGCTCTATGGCACAAAGAAATAAGATATAAGTTATCAGGGTGTACAAACGTGAATAGTATCAATGCTGGTTTGAATGTGTGGGAAAAAGCGAATGTGCAAAGGGGCATTGTAACGTGACTCGCAGTTCCGCCAGCTCAGTGTTTTAACTAGGCGTTTGAAGGTATGGAGTGGCCCATCTTCTTCACACACGATCTTTCTCCTCTCGGTTATCGGTGAGGAGAGTTAAACATCCTGGGGTCCGCCTTCTCTCCTGTAGCGCTGCTGAGCTGTACACCATTGATTACTGAACAGGTCATATGCAGTAGGTGGTCTGAGATAGAACCTTAATCGAGTTAGCTACGGTCGGCTCTGACAGACGTTAACGATATGCCGCTCCAGGTGGTGATGGAGGGTCCAGGACCCTGGGGATTCAGGCTTGTTGGGGGAAAGGACTTCGAACAGCCCCTGGCTATTTCCCGGGTAAGTTACCTGTACTGCTACGCTGCTGCGTTGTTATTAAGTGTAGTTACACCTGGGTTGTTCCGACCAAACCTCTGCACCGGTTGTGTTTTCTCGACTTGACTGAGAACAGGCTGACATAAACCTAGTTGACGTCAGCTAACGTTGGTGTTAACACAGGGCTAACTAACTAACTAACTAGCTAACACCACTCTAATTTAGCTAGCACTAGCTATGTGTCTTTATGTTGCTACAGTGGAAGTTGTTTGTTCATTCAGCTAAGTTACATGTAATAATGACGTATCCGGTGTTTTATTTCGAGCCCTTTATAGACATTTCTCAATTTCTGAAGTATGTTAATTAATACTTTTGTTATTTGATGCGTCTTTCTCTGTTTTTATGTAGCTGTAACATTTAGTCCAACAGTAGTCAAACTATTCTGCACACCCTGTTGTAAACTTGAGCTGAATTTCAAATTAAATGCATAAATATGGAGAGGGAAACTAAGCTGTTCGTTGCTTTGACATCCCAGGCTGTCCAGAGAACACAAAGCCCCTTGTTTCTCTGCAGCTCCTTCTGTTAGTGTGCAGCAGCACTGTGAACAGGAAACTTAGTCAGCTATCACCTATGTTTTACAATGTGACAGTAATGAACCATATTATTTCCCCTGTGTACATAGTCTGAATGAAGGCTGCTGCTCCTGGTGTAAATGTTGTTACAGTGGTCTGCCCTCTCCACCCGTGGAAAAGTGATTCGAAATTTCTGGATTGTGTCAGAGTCCCTGTCTGCTTCAAGCCTTTATCTTGGATAAAGTGTCTGTGTGTGTAAAGGTCCTTGAAGGTCAGAGTTAAACAACAAAGCAGAACAGAAAATAACCTTCCAGTTATTCAGTGTATATCCAACTGTAAAACAAAGCTGTTTCCATATATTCATGATTTAGGTTATTTTATGTTTAAGCTGTTTTATTTTGTAAAGAATCTTTTGGAAAAAGATTATCATAAAGATAGAACAGTACAGCTCTGCATATGTCTGTGTCAGATACCTTAAAACTTTATAGCCCAAGCTCATGTACACTCCCAAAGGTTTGTTTTTTTAAAAGATGATGCCCCTTGTGTTGTAGGTCACCCCTGGGAGTAAAGCTGCCCAGGCTGATCTGTGTATGGGAGACATAATCTTGGCTATAGATGGAGAACCGACAGAGAACATGACTCACTTGGAAGCGCAGAACAAGATCAAAGGGTGCATAGAGCAGATGGCGCTCTCCATAGACAGGTAGGATGTGGCAACATACCAGTCTGACATGCATGTGAGGCAGCCCAGCTGCAATCCAGGTGTTAAGGGAGTGGCGCTCTGGTTAATCATGCTTTTTTTAGAGGGCAAGTTTGTCTTTTGCTTTACTGTAATATTTAGTTTCAGAAGTCTATGCTAAATGATTGTGTAATTCTGTATCATATGACTTTGATAGTAGATGATTTCAGGCAACAGGTCTTTTGAAACAGATTCAACAGGCATGTTGAAGCAAATAAATTTGCTAAAATCAATACAGGGTCTGAATGCAGGGTGTGGTAAGCTGCCAGGAAGCCAAGCATAATAACATAACTGCAAGTTCCCTGCTGCATTCAGAGGCAGCAGGGCATAATGTCATGTTCATGTGCTGCTAATCAGGAAAACACACCCAGAAACAGGAAAAAAAAATCTGCCACATTACATTTAAACCTTCTATTCTTTTCCTTCCTCTGTTCTGCAGGTCAGAAAGTAAACTGTGGTGTCCACTTTCATCTGAGGAGGGGAGGACACATCCATACAAGATGAATCTTGCATCAGAGCCACGGGTGTGTGTCAAAGCTGGATGTAGAACTTGAGCTTTTAAAATTACTCTCTCAACTTTGACATTGACATTGAGACAGGGAAATCCTGTTTACAGGCAGCTGTATACAGTAGTTTCTAGAAGGCTGCATATTCCTTCACCACACCCGCAAAGGCTTTTTTTTTTTTTTTTTTGATTTATTTCTACTGCCAACAATGAAGTCACTGTTTACTCCCCAACAGGAGGTTTCCTAGGAAACGGTAGTTTATCAGCCAAGCTCTGACGCAAGCCTCAGTTCCTGCCCTCAGTGTGGAAAGTTGAGGCCAGAGTGTCAATTCATGTAGGAAATGGCATGCTGTGTGTGTTTTACAGGTCACAGTTGTTGTGCGCTTTTCTCACATACACAGTTACATGTTTCAAGCGTCTGGAGTCTGTCACTTTGATGCCTCTCCACTGTTTTTATGTTTTTAAATCATTGTATCATTTTTAGGCTATTCTAACATGCTAGCAGTTTCTTTTTGTACATTGATTGGCCCGCAGAGACTCTGTGATATTCTGCAGTTTACACAACGCATGAAGCATGAGCTATATTTGGAGGCATTTCTGTGTCCCAACTGTGAAGCATGAGCTAGATTTGGTGGTATTTATGTGCCCACTTTGATGGCATGCCAGTGTCATGATGTGTTTGTCTTTAAAGACTGTTAGCTGCTTAGCTAACGCAGAATCCAGAGTCATATACTACCCTGTGAAGTTATGTGAGAAAAAAGATGTTTGGCATTTTCAGTTGTCTCCAAACAGTTGTTTTTCTTGTTTAATTTGCATGTTGCAAAATTATTGACTTCATTATTAAAGGTCGGCTGTTAACCGATGTTGAGCAATATTCGTAAGGCATGGTATTGCCAACTCCTAAAAACAATTTCAAAATAAGAGTTCATCTGAAGGTGTCAAAAGTTGTGACTACCACTGCATTCATGTTGCATGTTGCAGAGAGTGTGCAAGTTATTTCACACAACCCTGATACCTCCACTTACCACCTTATGTACAAGAAGCTGTAACAGAATAATTTTACTTGTACAGGAGGTGAAACACATAGGCTCGACTCACAACAGGAGCGCTCTGCCTTTCGCCGGCTCCAAGGTTGTGACCAACCAGTACAACAACCCCTCTGGTCTGTACTCGTCAGAGAACATCAAGAGCTTCAACTCGGCTGTGGATGATGTTAAAACTATGGCTACAGCTAATGAGCCCAGCAGCAAGTAAGATCCACCTGCAGAGACACCATTTTAGTTCATTCCGAGTCAGGACTGGTTCCCAAGGGGGCCAGGATTGATTCAAAAGTAGTGTTTGTGGTCTCTGGGACTTCTATAGCTGTTGGGTATAGGTATCAACATCATCAGCAACGAAAAGACAAGGTGTTGTGTTCTGTCTCTGGCTTTTGTACATCCTGTGACTCCTTCAGACAGTGAAATGTAAGCACTTGCTTTTTAGAGCGCCATCAGATTCGTCAAAGACAAGCAAGCAGCCACCTGTAGCAGCAGACTCAGAGGTCTACAAAATGCTGCATGAGAACCAGGAGTCTGATGAGCCTCCTCGACAGTCGGCTTCATTCAAGGTGCTGCAGGAGATTCTAGAGACAGGTACAGATGCCAGGTGTTACTCACAACTATGTCAAAGAGGCTTTGGGACATGTACTCATTTTGACTTTTAATTAGATAACAGACTTTGGTTTCAACAGATTTTGTTCCTAATGAGTCATTGCTTCAAATGGTATAGTAGAAGTGAAGAGAAACACAGATGTGTGTAGCAGCAGGGAAATAGTAAGCATTTCCATCTGTATGATGTTGGCAGGTGACTCTGACACACCATCAGGGTTCAGGAGTGTGAAAGCCCCGGCAACAAAGATCGGATCATCATTGGGGAACACAGAGAAGTTGCCCATCTGTGACAAATGTGGATCTGGGATTGTGTGAGTGTTTTCTCATTCCACAGCACCAGTGTTTTACAAAGGGTGCGTTTGATTTGCACTGTGCAGAGAAAAGTGTATCGTGTCATTTATGGCTTCATCTGCCATCCAGAGGTAATGTCAGCACAGACCTGTGTGCAGTTTTCCTCTCAGTAGATTTTAGTGGTACCTGCTGTACCTGGAAGACGTTTATACTGTGAGAAAAGGCTGTGATGCAACACAGAAGGCCTGTTGTCTCTGTCTGGAGTTTGTCTCCTCCCTGTGGCTGGATTTAGTAAAGCCATAGGCCAAACTGTCAGTCCTCAGCCATTCCCCATTGTCAAACCTTTCTCTTTTTTCCCCTTATAAATTTACTGTATTTATGGGGAGAATCATTTGATTTTGCAAACCACCTCTTATTATTTGAGTGGATTTTACTATCTTATATTCCGTATCCCTAAAAATCTGTACTGCACAATTTCTTTCAACAGACCAGTCTAGTACAGACCTGTTGACTGATTTTGTAATAGTTAGATTGGCCAAAATGTTTTGTTGTTGGAATGAAATAAGAGACAGTCTGTACAAAATATTGGGAAATGCTTTTATTTTAGCTCTTGCAATGTTAATTCAGCTGTCTGTCTCCGGAGATACTTTACAAAGAAAAAAGTCTATAGTAAAGACTGTTTTTGAAAAGTGAAAATGAATGAAACATTTCTACATCATGAAGTGTGAACAATTTGAGGTGCATGAAGTAGCAAGAAGTTCAGGCTTTCTTTCCCTCTATACACCACACACTTATCTTTCATGGCATATGATGTACAGTGCTGTCTGTGGCAGTGTGTGCGGTGTCTGCCTAGCTCTGGGGGTTCAGACACTGACCATAGTGCGTCCTCAGAGGGAGACTGGTCGGGATGTTTGCTGCATCTACCTCTCTCGTTTTCTGACATTTCTCTCCACTGTCTGCCTGGAATAAAAGCATTTAAATGCCCCCCAAGTCATTTAAGATGCAAGTGCAAATGTGACCGACTTCAGTCGGGCTTGTGTGGCTGAATGGGAGCGAATCCAAAACAGTGAAGGACGACCATTGGTGTGATGTTCGGGTGTCCACATACTTGTGGCCATGTAGTGGAGCTTCTAACCTTGTACAGTGCACACACCAAATCATCTAAATCAAGTTCCTGAATTAGTCTGGATGAAGAACTGAACTTTGACTGTGATATTTATATCTGCTTCAGGGGGATGGTGGTGAAGCTGAGGGACAAGTTCCGTCATCCCGAGTGCTACACCTGCACAGACTGCAACGTCAACCTAAAACAGAAGGGACATTTCTTTGTGGAGGACCAGATTTACTGTGAGAAGCATGCACGAGAGCGAATGACTCCACCTGAGGGCTATGATGTAGTCACCGTCTTCCCCAAGTAAAGCGCTCACCGAGCTTGCTCTGCGACTGCATGCCACTACAGGACACAGTGTAATCCAAGACACAACAACATTAAGCTTGTGCTGCTCCAGAGACTTCCTCTCACATACTGCTTCAGTAGTCACTGGTAGGCAGGACAGTAAAGAATGATGTTTGAAAGTGTTGATTTGCACATTAATCCTGGCATCTACTCATTTGTTTTTTTATATTTTAAAGACAGCCACTGTGTTTTTGTTACTTAATGTGTTTGTTTGAGTCATTGGAATCACAGGAGACTCTACATGTTTTGTATAGTTTTATTCAATAAAGAGACCAACTTTTGCAGCAAATTGACCCAAAAAAGCACATTTCACTATCACTGCCAAATAAATATTTTAGCTTAAACCAGTTATCACTTGTCTTTCTAAATGCTTTATTGTGCTTCATGGGCTTTTGTGACATTGGCTGTGATTTTTAAGATGTTTCAGTAAAACATGGTCATGAAGAGCTTCATCTTTTAGACAGTCATTTTGAACATTGTGTTTTGTAATTGACTGATCTCAGTTTAAAGGCTGTTCAAGTATATTCACTAAAGGTTCAGTGGTAGCTCTGTAAAGGGGGAAATATTCAGTGGGCATAAATCAAGTGTTTCTGGATATATTTTCGCCACACAGTGACTTAAAATAAAAAGAAACTGGGATTGTGCTGGAGTCAGCTCTCCTAAATATTCTAGAGTCCATCTCATCAACAGTGCAAGAGTGTCTCGGGTTGAGGTCACCTGAGGTGACATAAGCAGCAACGCTTGGTGGGCTCCTCAGACCTGAAGGCAGCGGAAGGTGGTCCGCCGTGTGTCCGTCGGCCATGCGCAGAATCTCGGTCAGAGCCCAGATGTAGTTGTGGGCAAAGCGCAGAGTTTCGATCTTGGTCAGCTTTGCGTCTTCCGGCAGCGCCGGCAGGATGTTTCTCAGCGCGTCCAGTGCGGAGTTCAGGTTGTGCATCCGGTGGCGCTCTCTATCGTTTGCCTTCATTCTGCGCCGGCCCCGCTGTCCGGACTGCTCACATCTGGGTTTGTGTTTTGGTTGTTTTATTGAGCATGTTTCTCCTCCCGTAACAGTCAGCGGTTTTCGAGACAGATTTTTAATGGAGTCTTCTGACGCGTCGCCATCTTCATTCACGGGGCTGCGGAGCGTGCGAGAAAACCTGTTGAGCGTCCCCGCGTGTCTGGGTGTACCCAAGTCATCGGTCGCGCACCTTACGTTAGGAGACATCCTGTGTGAATAAAGAAGTTATTGATCTGGATAAATATAATCAGAACTGATGCATAGTCATACATTTTAAGATCACTTACAACTACTTTACAATGGTGCACAAGAAATACTGGTAAATGTCACAAAATTCATGTAATCACGCTGCCTGTTAAGCTTCGGGGTCTTAAAATCATATTTACTAATTTTTTCCATGAACCTTTAAACATGATTATAACTTGAATTATAACGACTTGCAGAGCTTTACTTTTTTCAACTGCACTGCTGTTTAGAAGACATATTTGGAAAGGATGCAATGACATATATATATTTTAACTTAACACTGATGGATGTATTTGCACTTACCTGTGTACTCGTGACAGGTGAAGCTAGGATAAAGAGAAACAGCCGCCCTTGTAAATCCTTTCTTGTAGCTGGAGACAGCAGACAGTGTCTGTGTGCGGCTGACAGTGAGGGATGGATGCGCCTCTCTGTCATTTTATATGGTCTTTATCTTATCTTTTTTACTCGTAGACGCCTGAATCAACAGCGCCTATCAAGTGACCAATCAGCTTCCAGGCCGTGCGTCTTTCAGCCTCTCCCTTTCTCTCTCTAATTTTTCAAAGTGTTGTATTTCTTTGTGTAGCTAAAATTCAAATACACGTGCCGTAGTGTGCCATAAATGTATGCCAGTTTAGTAATACATACACAAGTCAGGCATATGACCACTGGCAGGTGAAGTGAATAACACTGACTGTTACAGTGGCACCTGTCAGTGTGTGGGCCAAGTGGGTCCTCAAAGTTGATGTGTTGGAATCAGGAAAAATGGGCAAGTGTAAGGATCGGAGTGACTTTGACAAGGGCCAAACTGTGATGGTGAGATGACTGGGTCAGAGCATCTCCCACACTGCAGGTCGTGGTGGGTGTTCTTGGTCTACAGTGGTTAGTACCTACCAACAGTGATCTAAGGAAGGACAAATGGTGAACTGGAGACAGGGTCATGGACACCCAGGGATCACCTTACTGTAGATTAAACTTTTAACTTCCATTTGTACTTTTCAAAAGATTAAAATGTATTTGAATCTTTGTTAAAATGGTTGAAAATTAGAAATACTGTACATTGGTCTAAGAGAAAGAGTCAGGGGCTGTAGTGGTGATATCACACCTAGAATGGTGAGGCTGTTGAATTTGTCTAAAACATTCTCTCTAACTTGTTCTCACGACCACAGTTTTCACTCCTTTTACATCAGTTTTTCACTGAATTGTAGACACATCTGTGCTCTTCCTGACAGTAGAACTGTGGAAGCAAATGGATTAACAGAAGATGCACAGTGAGCTGCAGAGTGACACGAGTGCCAACCAACTGCCACATGGACTCCTGTATAAACAACATTAGGCAGGTGGTCATAATGTTATGCCTGATCGGTGTAAGTGCAGATGGTAACTCTTCATGTCCACTGGAAGTTCGCATTGCCACAGTTTTTCTCACAATTTTTTTATGTTAGTAAAAATGTTGCGTTTAAATTAAGTTCGTATCGTTCTTAATGCAAAACGGGGGAAAAGAGTAGTATTTTCCAGAATGAGGGTGTTTTCAAGCATAGGGTGCGACTGTGCTTTTGCATTTGTTCTCAGAGCTCTATCCTTTAGGGGCACCTGTAATGCGTCATTTTACGCACTCAAACTATTGCCACATGCCGTGCGGGCTACAAAGTGGTCAAATGGAAACTTGACAAGCTGACTGCTAAAGTCAACCACATTTGGACTGCAGTACCAAAAACTGGCGTAAAATCAACACATTCTCCACGATTATTTTTAAATAAATCGTTTATTATTAAGTATGTGGTTACAGTAGTATTTTTGATTGTGCGTGTATCACACGAGCTGGTAAGGCTGTCATTAAATGACTTCAAGTTGCCGTAAAATGGCTCTTACTTGAGAATTACTAAATGTTATTTAAAGGAACGGCTTATCTCCATCTTAGCTCAGAAAATCCAACCTATTAAAGAGAATGTTCATTTTTAAAATTACACATATTTGGACAAATGCTTACTTACTGCGTTAAAGCGCAAAGCTCCGGTATTAGGACAATGACAATTACGCATGGGGCCACCCGACAAAAAGGATTTGAGAGGGTGAAACCTGCTGTGTGAACTGATAGTACAAAGGGTCTTGTTGTGTGTCACAACAATAAAAGTTTGATTTCTTCTTTAATGTGAACATATATCTGTGCGCTATGACATCTCCAAAAACATGTCCAATATCGCCACAACTCTATGGCGCATTACCTTTATATAATAAAACTCTAGTTTACAAAGGTAAAGATTAGTCAAATATGTCAACAACATGCAGACACGTTTCTGCTCTGCTGAGGGGGAGTGTGGCAGAGCTCAGCCATGATTTACAACTGCCAACAAAGGATCACAAAAAGCTCTCCTTAACTTTGTCTAAATATGTTTTGGGAACAATCTGATAACCATATGGTTTCAATAAACTGGACAAATACACTAGTGAGATAGGAGATGGTGCCTTGCAGTTATAAAAGGCACGAAAAGTCTTAAGTAAACTAAATATTACCACTTTACAAATAATCATTGATGCCAAATTTATATTCGGATATCATGGACAGGTGTGGGTTTGAACCTGTCAGTCTCTCTCTTTGATTTTTATCAGTGTGCTGTAGTGCCCTGCTTGTTATGCAAAGTATAGGCAAACATAAGCGCCCAGTTGCTCTGGAAATAGCAGATATCGGAGCAGACTTGGTACGAAAAGTGATTTAACAATATTTAACAATAAACTCGGCAATCTCCCGAGCAGGTGATACCTGCCCGATGCTCCCGATTAATACTTCCTCTACTACTTCACTTTACAGTCTCTTTTGCTTATTTATTAAACGAAATCTATTTATTATTATTTTAGCAAACAGAGGTACCAGGTGGGGCTTTATTTTCGTCTTCAGCTTTTTGTTTGAAGGACGTTTTGAGGGGGACAATCAAAGTCCAACAACTCGCTGACCAGATTGTTGTCATCCCAAACTAGAAGCGAAGCCATTCAATGTGCCCCCCTCCTCTTGTTCATTCTGGCAACGAGCTGCCGGGGGAGAAAAAAAGAAAAGGGAAACTTCTTTAAGAAAGGAAAAACATCTTTAAAACATTTAATTGCAACCCGGATGCCATATGTACACCTCTTGTGAACCCCTTCAACAATGTGTCTGCCTTTTTAGAAAGTATGGAGTGCGCCTTTGGAGACGTGTGCGCTTTTGGAGAGGTGCGTGCGTCGTGACCAGAATGACCCCGAACACACTTTAAACAAGAAGTAATTCACTTTTAATGTGCTTTAGAGATTCCTTTCACAGGCAGTGCATTGAACCTCTCACCTCAGCTTTTGAAGACAGTGTACACCAATTACGTGGAATAGCTGTCCTTTAGAGACAGCTTCTTTTTCTTTTTTCTTTTATTAAAGAATGTTAGATTTTAAGCACGAATAGGGCTGTGGTTGCAAGTCGCCCCCTTTCACCCCCTAAACTAACCGCAGAATGTTTTGTCTTTCTTTCTGGTGGCTTTTCATTGCTGAACTTTGCGTTCATTAGTGGCTCGATCTTTGTGTGATAAAAACAACAAATGTGCAACAAATGGATGAAGTCCTCAGAAGAAATCTACGATTCACGTTCATTTGCAAGTTTACAATTCACGCACAGATTAAGGTAGCATCTTCTTATAAAGGGCCAAATCATACCTGCTTAAGTAATGTTTAACTAGTGCATGAGTCGTGATGATTTAGTGGGCGAATTATTGCAAAGATGTATCTTGGATTCCTATTACTCCCCATTAACAAATAATCAAGTCACACTAATGTTCTGTGATTAGTTCCTAATTAGCTGACTAACAATTAATGAGTGATAATTTACATTTACCTCATACATTTATTGAAATGCCACCAAATTAGTTGCATTTCAGTTATACAACAGTGTCACAAAGATTAGCGTGTAAAACGCAGGAGGTCTTCGTTGCAGGGCGTTAGTTGAAACGTTGTCCCCATGGAAATCCAACGGGTCTCTGCACATTCTTCATCTAATCTGCAGGGAATGAAATGTCTCCTTTAATCTTTTGGTATTTTGCATTGCCACAGAATAAGTCGGTTATAAACTAATATAAACTTGACTGACTGGT